TTTGCCAGCTGTGGTGGAGGGTCCTTGTCCTGCTTCCGGGCAGTCTTCATGTTACTTGTCATCTCTCTTTCCCCATCTGCTTCTCTTGCTTGCTTGATTTCGATAGCAAGACATGAGATTCTCATGAACATTAATGACACTACTATTTCACTAACATAGCATAGGAAACCTATTCCCAAGTGTGATTATAACTATAGATTTAGAGTTCGGATTTAAGGTATACTTTGGGGGGGCACTATTTAATCCATAACACCTATCCTATTCTACCTCATTCTCACCTCAATGATGATTGGGTGGAACTCACAGTGCTATAAAACAAATTGTAAGGCAGACGCAATTACAGAAGCAAGGAATTTACTTCATGAAAAACAAAATTAATCTGCTTTAAGAAATCTGTGGATGTCGTTGAAAGATAGAAAAATCAGATTTTCCTCTGAAGATAGTGACTGATTGGGCAAATATTATGTTGATATGGATATCTATATGCCCCAAATCCATCCAGTTGATTTTGCTCATAGCAATCATATAGGATTTCTGAGCCTTTAAGTTTTATGGGAGCAGAAAAACAACATTTTTCTCCTGTGGATTAGCTGGTAGGCTTGAGTTACGAACCTTGCAGTTAGCAGCCCATTGTGTAATCCACAGCTCCATCAGAACTTCTTGGATATAGTGACTGATATAAAATATGATTTCTTTGGAGGTACTATGAAAAACATTCTTTTATATAAAACCATTGTAGTTGTAAAATTACAGCACAATTGAGGAAATAATATAATAATTTTTAAATCATTTGTTAAGTGCTTCAGGAATTTACAGCCAGGAAAAGATTAGTGTGAGTGGGAGCAGCTGGGGTTGGCTTCATGAAAGAGGTAGGAGATGAGTCGGAACTTAAAAGATGGGTAGAATGTGTGTGGGTGGCAAGGGGGAGGGTCAAGGCATTTCAGCGATGGCAAGAGTGATCTTCGTATTGTAGATGAAACTATCTTCAAGAGCAAGCAGTGAGCTTCTGGCTATCATGTGGGATTCACATTGGCCACTGGCTGAACAATAAAATGAAGGTGCTAGAAGGGATAAGCTTATGAAGCGATTTAGACTTTTGCTCCTATAAGGATTTGGGTTGTATCTGTCTATCTCAGCCCCTCTCTGTCTTTATATCTCTCAGCTTGGAGTGAAAATATAGTTGATGTTTTGAGAGTTTAAGCACTGCTTGCTAATAGCCCAGAGAATCAAGGGACTAATAGAGATTAATATGACATCAGTTAGACCTGTCTAAACATTCTGGGCTCTGGTGGTGTAGTGCGTTGTACTTTGGGCTGCTCACTGCAAGAATAGTGGTTCAAAACCACCAGGGCTTCCTTAAGGATTTACAGCCTCAGAAATCAAAAGAAGCAGTTCTGTGGTGTGTCTGTATAAGGTCAGTGTGAGTTGGAATCACATGGCATTGGATAGTGGTGGGGTGAGCACTAAGCCTGGGTTAGAAATCCCAGGTGGCTAGCAGGAATAGACAAATGGTTTTATTACATTTAAATTACCTTTACAGAAATAATCTCATTGTGTTTTATTCAAGAGGACTCTTATAAAATTGTTTCTCTATACTGTAGGACAGTGGTTCTCAGCCTTCCTAATGCCGTGACAGTCCCTCATGTTGTGGTGACCCCCCCCCAACCATAAAATTATTTTTGTTGCTGCTTCATAACCGTAATTTTGCTACTGTTATGAATTGGGTGACCCCTGTGAAAGGGTGGTTTGACACCCCCCCCAAAGGGGTCACGACCTACAGGTTGAGAACCACTGCTCTAGGATTTAAAAAGTGTTAAAGATGCACTCTTTCTAATCGATTGTTAAATATGTTGCACTCAGCTGATTGAACCCAGTCCCTTGCCTTATATACACAGTTACCCATTTGATGTTTCTATGCAGAAACAAACTACAAAGTTACTACATTTCACATCAAAATCACAGCCCGAGACCAGAAAGGAGCCCCAAGAACTTCCAAACTCTCATTTTATAATATAGGAGTATAAAGCTATATGTTTCCTTTTACTCTGCAGATTGTATGCTTTTGCCAGGTTCTGTTTTTAGTTTTATTCAGATCAGAATGTTTTTTTTTCATTTTCTTTTGAAGATGGCTTATTTAGAAGTTTGTTAGGTAATTTCCAAACATTTGGGATGTTCAAAAATTTTCATTTAATTTTGTGATGGTCAGAGAAAAGGAACCCTGGTGATGCAGTAGTTAACGTGTATGAACTACTAACCACAAATGCGATGACTTGAGCCCACCAGCTGTTGTATGGGAGAAGATGTGACAACTGCTTCCATAGAGGTTTACAGCCAGGGAAACTTTATGAGGCCTTTCTCCTCTGTCCCATAATGTCACTATGAGTTAGAACTGACTCAGTAGTAGTTCTGTGTGCTGCCTCTTGATCCATGTACAAGTTCTGAGTGAGCACAGTGAAGTGGTCTGGAATTCCCATTCTTCTCAAGGTTTATCTACAGTTGATTATTGCCCTGTGCCTTTGCATAGTTACTGAAACACAAGTAAACATTTTTCTGGTATTCTCTGCACTGAGCCAAGATCCATCTGACATGAGCAAAGATAGCCCTTCTTCCATGTCCTCTTCTGAATCCAGCCTGAACTTCTGGGAGCTCCCTGTCAATGTACTGCCGAAACTGTTGTTGGGTGCTCTTAAGCAAAATGTTACTTTTGTGCAGTATCAGTGGTATCATTCTATAGTTTGAGCATTCTGTTGGCTCTCCTTTCTTTGGACCGGGAACACATATGGATCTCTTCCAGTTGGCCAGGTTGCTATCTTCCAAATTGTCCGGCACAGACCATTGAGTGCTTCCATTGCTTCTTCACCTTTTTGAAACATTTCAATGAGTATTCCATCAATTCTTAGAACCTTGTTTTCGGGTAATGCGTTCAGTGCAGTTTGAACTCCATCCTTTAGGACCATTAGTTCTTGCTCATATGCTACCTCTTGAAATGATGGACTGTCAACTCGTTCTTTGGGGTACATTGACTGTAGTCTTTCTGTCTGTGTATTTAAGTGCATCTCAGTCATGAAACTTTGTGTGCCTGTTTTTTTTAGTGCTGTCTCTAAAAATTGTTCAATGAAATTTATATTTAAGTCATTTTGAATGAATATCTAAGCATCTTTCCTAAAGGAATAGAATATTAACACAGTTAAGGGAAGATGACTATTTAGGTCTATGTACCTGCACTCATTTTTTTCTAATCAAAAATAATTTACATAATTTTACACAACTCTGTTACCTGGGAAATTAATAGTTTCTGTTACCTTCATTAATGAGTCTGGAAAACCAATCACTCATTTTAACTCGATTGGCTATGTAAAAATTAAAAAGTAAATCCATCCTAATTTCTGTATAGCATGAGAAAATGTGAGTCTAGGCTTGCTAATGGCTTTCCTTCAAAATTAACTAACAGGAAGGTAATTGGCAAAATGTAGAACTAATAGTAACAGCTTCAATTTGGAATGGAAATGAGCACAGTTTTGAAATTGGTAAAGTTTTCTCTTCTTTTGTCTTGCTCTCTGCAATGTTTAAAACCTAAGAGTCTGGCATCAGTTAGTATCCTTATTAAAACAATTATACTGTGCTGTTCTTTGTTTTGGTGCTTCAGTTAGGCATTTTATAACGAGTAATGAGTGAGAAAGAGTGGTGATGTGTAAATATCACTGTATACATATAGATAGAGACTATTGGAAAATTTTAGAGGAGCAACATTTGCTTATTTCTGCTTCCACCTTCTAAGAACCTTACTCCACGACCGGGCTCCTTGGCCCCCATGTGACACCTATCCTCCGCTTTGCCCATTTTCCTGACAGACATCCCATTTCCCTTGCAGTTTCCCAAGGCCATGCTTCATGTTTCCTACCTCTTCTATATTGTTATTTAAGTAATATTTTCTGGCCATTTAGCTGATATTTTGTTAATCTTTCTGTGTACATACCTTTTATTAAATGGATTTCTGAATCAGTTTTATTGTTGGAATCTATTAATATGTACTCCAAATATACTATCGTTGTTTATGCTGTTAGGAAGTCATCATGCTATCTGCTGCTTTCTTTTCATGTGAAAATTAATATAAGTTTGAAATGCCATGAAAGAAAGTTGTCTGTATGATTTACAAATATAGCAGGATCATGCAATTTCTAGTGTGCCATATTTAATGCTTTATAAAACTTAGCAACTGAGCCCCCTTAGTAGGGCCAACTCAACTCTTTCAATGTATCTTAGAAAGAAAATAGCACTTCTAAGATGTGTTTTATACATCTGGTAGCATAGTGGTTGCCTTTCGGCTGTTCATTGGGCTGCTAAATCACAAGGTCAGTTGTTCAAAACCACCAACTGCCCCAAGGGAGAAAGATGAGATTTTATACTCCCATAAAAAGTTGCAGTCTTGGATCCCGCCTGGGGCAGTTCTACCCTGCCTGATAGGATCATTATGAGTCAGAATCGAGTTGATGGGAATGAGTTTGATTTTTTTAATTTGAAGAGGTGTTTTTCTTATCCCTAAGTTTTAACCATGAGAAGTTTGATGCATATAATTTCCAAATTTTATACTGATAGTTCATTTCAAATAGTTCTTAGATACCGGCAGTGCTTCTCAATTGATCTGTGGCGAAGTGCCAGCTTAACACTTTGCCAGTTTACCAAAGATGATTATTCTTTAAAATATATACTACATATGAATTACTAGAAAAGTGAATTTTAAAAAATACAATATGCTAGCTGCAGTGTTAAAATCAGGTTAAAATACTCTGCTAATTTTTAAAAATTACTCTATAAAGTTTCTAAACACTCAATTTTTAAATCAATCTTGTGGGGGAGTAACATAGTTCGTGGACGAATAGCAAATAATTTGGTCTGAAGACCAGTGCTAATGATAGAATAGCAACCACCTATTATTTATTATGGTAATGCTTTCTCAGAAGCATCTCAGTCAAGATAAATTTTTTGTGTTTCTTTTTCAGAACCGGGAGCTCCAGATCATGAGAAAGCTAGACCACTGTAACATAGTCCGATTGCGTTATTTCTTCTACTCAAGCGGTGAGAAGGTAGGTCTCACAGGATGTTGTATGGATTATTGAACTAGATTCGTTATTCTTCCAGGAAATGATTTTTCCCTCTCATTGAGATAGTTTTGCTAATTGAATGGAAGAATTTCAAATTGAATGTAAGAATTTCAAATCATAGACATCAAGCATTCTGAGCCAAGGGTATGGCCATCAATATCAGTAAATTACACGAGGAAAATGTTTTTGAGACAATAAAGGGAGTGAATTTTTAAGAATGATTTTAAAAATCTATTGTTAGAACTCAAACTTAAATATTTTATTAAATGGTTTGTGTTCCTTTTTTTATTTGGGAAGTCCCATGATAGTTCATCTGGTCATTGGAGGGAAGAAAATGATTTTGCTAAGTGAAAATTGGTTAGAGGGGAAGGAAAATTGGAAGACTTTGGGGGTGAGGGAGTCCATAGCTTTGAGAATCAAGTTTAACCTATCTTTGGCCAAGGATATGGTTAGAAACGGTATTAAAGAGCTTTATATAAGTCATTATATTTCCTATCAAACTTGATTCACTGCCAACTCATAGTAGCCCCATGGGACAGGGTAGAACTGCCCCTGTGAGTGGTGCTGGTGGTTTTCACCTACTGCCCTTGTACAGATTTACGATTTTTGTAACAATACTTTTTCACTTACCCTGGTACTTAATTGTTCATGCTTCTACTATATATATATATATATATATATATATATTTTTTTTTTTTTTAATTTAGCAAGCTACCTACTCGTGTCTTTAACCTTACATGCATTGGCATGTCTTTGAATTATCCAGTTCATTCTCAAATAAAATTATATTATGCATTGTTATGCTAACAGCACTCTTCTAATAGAATTTTGCATCCACAAGGTTTTTTGTTATTAGATGCTAAACATCACAGTACTACAGGGAGGACAGTAAAGGTCAAAAATATCTGTTCCATGAACCACTGCCTTATATATAGATTTATTTGCAAAAGCCTCATTACAAAGCCCCTACATGTTGTCTCTTGGTTATTGATTTCATTTACATAATACATGCAGTGTGCCCAGTGGCATCCTGAATGCTGCAGACAATGTGCATGCTCAGCTGTTAACCAAGGATCATGGGTCCATGATCACCCGGAGGGCCTTTGGAAGAAAGACCAGCAATCTCTGAGCAACCAGCCACTGCAGTCTCCTTGTGATTTAATTTTGTGCTGACATACCCAGGGTTGCCATGAGTCAGCATTGATTTGACAGCAGCTGTTTTCTTTCTTTATTCTGTTTGCTGGTTTTTATATACCAGGTTCTGTTCTACTAAGAATCCTGGCGGTGGGGTAGGGGCGGTAGGCATAACAGTTAAGTGCTTAACTGTGATCCAGAAGGCTGGAGGTTAGACTCTACCCCATGGTGCCTCAGGAGAAAGGCCTGGTGATCTGCTTACCACAAAGGCCATAGCCATTGAAAACCCTAGGAAATAATTCAACTGTGTAGCTCCCAGGATTGTCAGGAGTTAGAATTGACCCAGTGGCAACTGGTTTGGTTTTACTGTTTTAGTATTTTATGAGCATGGTTTTATTCAGCTCTCATAAAAGTAGAGAATAGAAAGAGAATATTAAAGCCTTTTTGAGTATAAGATTGTATTTGTGGTAGTACCTAAAAACTGAACTATCTTACTGGATGTGGTGGTAAGTCCTGATCACAGTCAGCCTTCACCGTGACACAAGTCTTGCTTTAGGGGCGTAACGACTGACCACCATAGTTGTATGTATGCAATGTGTGGCTTCAATATGTGTTTGCCAGCTTGCTTCCCCTTCTACCCCCAAGTCAGTGTTTACCAAAGTGGGCTATACGTCCCCCTGGGAGGCATTGTAATGATCCAGGGGGTTGCAAACACAGATACCTAAGTATTGCCCTGGATTATGGGCTGCAGTACATAAGTTTTTAATGCTGGGGTTTGGGACAGAGCAATTACCTTTTTTTTTTTCTTTCTTTCTGAAAAGGGAAGTTTGGGAACCTATGCCCTAAGGCATTTTCATAAGCATGTTGTGCCAGTTGTTTACATCTGCTGTAAAAAGGGTTAGCATAATAATGTAAATACCTTTATTGGGTTGGGCATAGGAGGCAGCAAGCAAATGTAGAGCCCATTTTTATTTGTATGCAAATAAAAATATACTTGTATACTAGTCTCGAGGGTGTTTTAGGAGCCCTGGTGGTGTGGTGCTTACAAGGCAGTAGCGTGAATCTCTCCAGCCACTCCGTGGGAAAAACGTGATGCTTTGTACTCCTGTAAACATTGAATAGTCTCAGAAACTCATAGAGGCAGTTATAACTCTGTCCTATAGAGGTTGCTATAGAGCAGTGGTTCTCAAACTTCCTAATGCTGGGACCCATTAATGCATTTCCTCATGTTGTGGTGACTCCCTCAACCATAATATTATTTTTGTTGCTACTTCGTAACTGTAATTTTGCTACTGTTATCAATCAGGCGACCCCTTGTGAAAGGGCCCTTAGACCCTCAAAGGGGTTGCGACCCACAGGTTGGGAAACACTGATCTAAGGCAAGGCAATAAAAAGAACCCTCCACAAGGGGAAGGGACTGGGGTGGTCAGGACGCATCCTTTGAGCACACGGGAAAATTTTGGAGGATCAGTGATAGGAATATGAGTATAAAGGAGGTTTGAGGAGGCAGTTAGTGGATGAGTTGAGAGCGTGTTGTAAGGATAAGAAAGAAAGCAAGAATATAATGTTTTAGGAATATAGTGATGAAAGATTTGGTTCTACTCTAAGATGAATGATTCAAATGTTTATGAGAATAATTTTTAATCCTCTTTCATTCTCTATGGAGCCCTGGTGGTGCAGAGATTTCAGTAGTCGTGACGTGTTGGGCTGTGATCCACATGGTTGGCAGTTTGAAACCACCAGCAGCTCTGTGGAAAAAAGACTGGGCTTTCTACTCCTGTAAACAGTTAGTCACACAAACCCACAGGGGCATCGCTGTGAGTCAGCATTGGCTTCATGACAGTGAGTTTGGTTTTTGGTTTCGTTCTCTATAAAGAGTTCTGGTGGCGTTTCAGGTTGGGCTGCCAACCCCCCAAAGTCAGCTGTTTGAATCTACAATTCACCCTTCAGGAGAAAGAGGAGGCTTTCTGCTCCCCTGAAGATTATAGCTTTGGGACCCCAAAAGGGCAGTTCTACCTGTCACATATGGTCGCTATGAGTGGGCATCAACCCAGTGGCAGTGGGTTTAGTTTGCTCTTCATTCTCCACATTCATCTCTGAAGCTCTTTTCCTCTGCCGCCCTTCCTGTCAGTCTATTTCTCTAGTGTATCCCCATCCTTTCCCTCCACTACATATCTCCCTTCCTCTCTAGATCTCCAGCTCTTTTACTTTGGGCTCTTGGGCTCTCTTTTCTTTCTCTAGGTTTTGTCTTTCTCATTTGGACTTTGTGCACCCCCCCCCCCAATTTAGATTTCTTTTCCTTTGATAACTTAGTTCACTTTTCCTGTGGTTCTCCGTCAGCCTCATTCACTGGTGGGTCTGCCTTCCTTTATTTGACCATCTCTCTGTCTTTCTTTGTCTCTGTGGCCCTGTCTTCATTTGCATATAGATTCTACCTGACTAGAGTCCCTTCTGGTCTCGGATTCTTCCAGACTCTCTTTGTTTGGTAAAACTTTTCTCTTGACCTCTGTTATTGCTCCCTTAATGGAAAGATTGAAAGAAGAAAAATTGTTTCAACAAATTCATTAGAATAATCTTTGACTTCAGTTCTTTGCATCTTCATTTTATATGTATTTTTTAAATAGTCTTGGGAGAAAGATGAGGCTTTCTAATCATGTAAAGAGTTATAATCCCAGAAACCCACAGAGGCAGTTCTGCCCTCTCCTATAGGGTCACTGTGATTCAGAATCTACTCGATGGCAATGAGTTTTGTACATAGTTTTATATACACTCTAACTTCATTAATTGATTATTCGTGATGTTATAAAACTTTTCCTTTCCCTCCACGTAGTATTTAGAGATATTGGTTATAAACTGCTGTAAAGTCGTCCTGCGATAGTGCCCTAAACTCTTTCCTCATTGCTATTTTCAGTTTTAGGATTGTAGCTAAACTACTCCTGGTCTTTACCATCTAGATTTTAGTCTATACGCACTTTCCAGTTCTGTGTGAAGTTAAATTTGGGTAGCTATAATATTTGACAGATATTTTCACTAACCACCATTTGGCCGAATGTTTTATATATATTATGGTGGCTATGTGGTTTATGATTAGTTGCACCCAAATAATTGGGTCTTTGTCCTTGATTCATGAGAGGAGAACTTCTGAAACATTGAAATTTCCCCATGGTGGAAATGTTTGTGATGAGGCCTCTAGTATATAGGTTTCCAAACTTACTTGACTTACTGCCCCCTTTAAAGAAAAAAATTACTTAGTGTCCCTTGCAATGAAAAACTTTTGAACGATAGCCCATAATCTGCTCTTTCAGGTGTTTGAGTCATACTTGTGATCTCCCCCTGCCCCCGCCCCCCCTTGCCGCCCAAGGGTGGTATCCTTCATTTAGAAAACGCTACTCTAGTAGCTCATCCCTAAACTAACTGATTATGCAAATGAAATGACTCTTACATGGGAAGCTAACCATGCAAGAAGCTCTACCACACCCTCTCAGCTGATCTTAGGAACCGGGGTGAGAGAGGATGCAATCAGCTGTGTCCATGTCATGAGGCTCTCCAGTGAAGGCTCTGGATGCACACCCTCCATGAACTTCCTGATTGGTAAAAGACACTGATGCACATGAGAGAGGGCAGTGTCTCCCTTTTGGGGCTATGAAAACCCACTTTGGGAACCTTTCCAGGTGTCACTCAAGTATCTCTTTCATGTATATCTGTTTCCCTACTGTAAAATTGTAATCGTTAAGTATAACACTTTCTATAAGTTCTGCAAGTTATTCTTGTATAATGAATTATTCAATCCAAAGGAGGAGTAGGAACCAGATTAGAAGTGAGGAGTCCTGGGAGCCTTGGAGCTTATG